TCCCCCCACCCCCCACCCCCCCCCCCCCCCCGCACCCCCCACAACCCCCCCCGCGCCCCCAACCTGGGTTAACTAGACTAGGGGACTTATAATTGTGATGTAAGTCAGTTCTAATTAGTAAGATTGCGAAGTCCCATGCACCTCCAAGCGAAGCCCTAACTCTTACAGCCCTAAAGCCCAAAACCCTGTCCCTCCGTGACCGAATGCAGGGGGTGCCCAGGTCAGCAGGACTGCAGAGACATCTCCCGCTCCTTTGTTGCAAGTTGGACCCTTTAACTCGGGTTCTAATAGGGGCAATTGTCTAGGTCACGGCCCTCGCGGCCCCTCCCCCCCCCAAAATACCCCCCTCCCCTACCTTGCCACCCCCCCCACGCCCCCACCCCGGTGGTGTGGGCGGTGGTGTGTTTATGGGGATAGGGCGCATGGCCGTATGCTTTATATGGCTCCGGCGTTTGGGGCCTTTAAGGGGCTTCGGGTTCTTAGCGTAGGGTTTCCAGTCAGGGCTTGGGGCGTTAAGGGATTATCGGCTTTTCAGGTTTAGGGCTTTAGACGGTGGGTTTGGGCTTCAGGGGTTGAGGCTGCTTTGGTCCCTATATAAGCCCTGAACCAAACCCTAAAAAACCCTGCACAAGGGCCTCAAGACCCCCAGACACCCCTCTAACGACCATACCAGGGGGGGGGGGGGGTTGCCCGGACAACGCCAACGCCTATCTAGCTAGGTTGTTATAGGGGGGGGGTTCAGGGTCCCCTAGACGATCACTGGACGGCATTGGATTGTAGTTCTATCCCGACTCAACGACTTCCAACCCTACCAACCCCCTACCCCGACACCCTACAACCCTACACCCTACACCCTACACCAAGCCCTAAACCCTAAACCTAAACCTAACCCTAACCCCTAAACCCTAAACGCCTAACTCTCCTTAAGGCTCACAACGAATGCGCCCCTCTGACAATGCTGGCACCGCGATGTGATTCGCCGCGTTTCCGACGAGATCCTCCGTGGGGGCCCGAGCGAGAATTGGATTCAAATGTTTAGTTAGGGTTTAGGGTTTAGGTTTTAGGGGTAGGGTTTCTGGTTTAGGGTTAGGGTTTGGGTTTAGGGTTAGGGTTTAGGTTTAGTTTAGGGTTTAGGGTTTATGGTTAGGGTTAGGTTTCAGGGTTAGGGTTTAGGGTTGGGTTTGGGTTTTGTCTTCCGGACGAAACCTAAACCCCATTTCGATACACCCTCATAAACCCTAAAAACCCTGAGCCCTCATAGCCCTAAGCGAACGCCCTCATTTCAAACACACAGCCCTACACCCCTTTCCCGGAAGCCTCTGTCGAGGCATTGAGACCTCTGCCCCGCAACCAAAATGCTTAGGGTTAGGGCTTTGGGTTTAGGGGGCGGTGTGGGGTTGAGGTATACGTTTTAGGATCATAATTACCGGGTTTCGGGTTCATGCCTTAGGGATTCTTTTGTGAAAGCTTCTCCTACTCACACGGTTGGCATTACCTCAGTTCCGATTGACCAGCCCTATAAAACCCAAACCCTAAACCCTACTGAAGGTTCGGGTAATTAGGGTTTAGGGTTTAGGTTTTTAGAGTCCTCGAAGTAGGTTGCAGTTTAACTTATCCTTGGGGGTGAAAGGTACCCATGAAACCTCCGGGCTTAGGCGTCAAACCCAAAAAAAAAAAAATAAACCCTCAACCGCAGTCCCTCCAAGCTTAAGGTTTAGGGTTTAAGGCTTTAGGTTTTAGGGTTTTACAATGCTCACCTGGAGCAACCCTTTCGCAGCACAGTACAGGGGTATTTATGGCGTTTGGGCTTATGTTGTAGAAATGCCTTCGGGCTTTTGGGGGCTGTAGGCTTTGTGGGGCTTTTAGTTTTTTGGGGTTTAGGTGTTTAGGTTTAGGGTTTTAGGGTTTTGGAGACACCTGTGCAACCTGAACCCGATCCAAGAGCAAAGCCTCAGTCACATCCAGCAGCCCAGCCTTTCTTGTTGAAAGCTACTCCAGCCCTTCACAGACTAAACCAACATTTTAGGTTGAGTTTTGGGGGTGTATAACACACAAACAATGACCGGTCCAAACTACCCTACACACACACCCACCACAAACCAAAAAAACACAACTACCCTAAACCTCAACACGGAAATGACTTTTGGTATATTATATCGCATGGGTGTTTGTATAGGGAATAACATAAGCGTCCCGTCGGGGCTCCCTCCACACACTCCTTCATGAAGGAAGGGAACTCATCGCCCTCTCATCCCAACCCTAATCCCTAAACCGCCTAACCCCTTACAAGGCGAATAAACTTCCTCGCCCTTGCTGGGTCGGTCCTGCAACGCTGCTGGCGTGCTTTGCCGTCCCACACTTCGACGATCTGCCACCGAAGCCTCCGGATCCAGGGCCTTCGAAATCGGGGTGGCCTTAGGTTTAGGCCACCCCCCTCGCCCACCCCCCCCCCCACCCCCCCCCCCCCCCACCCCCCCCCCCCCCCACCCCCCCCCCCCACCCCTGCCCCCCACCCCCCCCCCCCACCTCCCCCCCCCACCCCCCCCCCCCACCCCCCCCCCCACCCCCCCCCGCCCACCCCCCCCCCCCCCCCCCCCCACCCCCCCCCAAGAGACTCCAAAACCCCTTCATTGAGGAATAGACCTTAAATCATACTAGGGTTCCTATTATAATTTAAGGGAGATCCCCTAATTAAGAGGTTTTTCCTTGAAACACTCGATATCCATGTGCCAAGGCCAATGGATTGATAGGTCTCAGGTGCGGGGCCCAGTGGCTCCAAAAACCCTTTATGAAGGAATATATACCTTAAATCATACTAGGGTTCTTTTATACTTGAAGGGATACTACTTAATCAAGGGGTTTTTGAGTCTCTGGGTGGTTTGGTTTAGCTCTGGACACGTCAGAGGCTCCAAAACCCCTGAATTGAGGAATGTACCCGAAGACTTAGGGTTCCTATTATATTTTGATTGATATTCCTTAATTAAGGGGTTTTGGAGCCTCTGGGTAGGGAACCTATTGGGGAGTATCAGGATCCTTGGGTTACATACCACCCTTGAACCCCCTCCCTTTTCAACACCATAAGAAATTAAGGGCACCTCATTGGCGGGGCTGGGCGGGGGAGCGGGGGGGAGGGGAGGGTGGCTTTTCTCTGTAAACTCCCATATAGAATGACACCCTTCTAATTAACAAGGACACTAATGAAGAGAACTACTCACTTTCATCAATTGCCACTATCCGTGACTTGAAAGCAAGCAACTTGCCAGCTTTGCTTGAATTAAGGCAAGGGTTTGAGGTGGTTACATGGTACCTTCACATGCGCCCTGAAACTAGGGAACCCTTATGTAGCACTTATTAAACCCTATAAAACCCCAGGGCCCATACCTCAGAACCCTTTCAACTTCGAAGAAGGTAAGGGACAAAATTTAGGGACCATGTAACTTCCTGAACCCTAAGCCCTAAACCTTACTGGCAAGGTGTTAAACATAGAAGGTGACCAGGTAACTTCCCTTAGATGAACCTTAAACCCTCAATGTCAACTGAAAGATGAGAAGGGTGGCTTAGGTGGGTTCAGGTTGTACTAGGGCATCCCTAGAACGCTGAGACATAAGGTTTAGGGTTTGGGGTTTAGGGTTTAGGGTTTAGGGTTTGGGGTTTAGGGTTTAGGGTTTGGGGTTTAGGGTTTAGGTTTGGGCAGTCAATGACCGACGGGGCTTACAGCTGCCTGTGATGAGCAAAGGGAGACGGACGAGCTCCTGGGCACACTTCTCCGTTGCAAGTCTATGGGGGGTTTAGGGTTTAGGGTTTAGGGTTTAGGATGTATCACACCCGGAGCCGAGGAACTCAGCCATGATCCATGTCAGTTGGCACCCTAAAGGCTACGAGACAGAACCCCCTTTACCCTAAAACCCTATACATCCTAAACCCCCATGTTGCTTAGCTTAAGAAGGCTTCTCGGTCCCAAAATAGGGGCCCCCTGATGCACCGATCCCCCCCCAAAAAAACCTAAACCCTGATTAAACCCTAAACCCTGTAACCCTAGACCCTGTAACCCTAAACCCTAAACCCTAAACCCTATAAGAGCACTCCAAGGCTCATCAGGTCAACCTCCTCGCGGTTGTGGTGTCCAACGGCCGTGACGGGCAGGGATCGCAAAGCAGGTGCCTTCCTCAGCTTCTGGGGATCCGTTGTAAAGTTTACGATCTTAGGGGTACCTTCTTGGGGTTAGGGTTTAGGGTTTAGGGTTTAGGGTTTAGGGTTTAGGGTTTAGGGTTTAGGGTTTAGGGTTTAGGGTTTCGGGTTTAGGGTTTAGGGTTTAGGGTTTTTTTACTATCGTAAAATCCCATCTCCCTCATTCCCAACTACTGCAACTAGTAAGCCAAGGTAGTGTACCATTAAGAGCCCGGATATTGAGGGCCCCTATAGTCTTGGTAGCCCAGGAGCATTTTTTTTGGGGCTGGTTACTTTATAAGAACCAATAAAAAAAAGTAAAGGGGCTACCAGGCCTTACCAGTTCCTTAAATTAGGGTGTCTTCTTCGCTTCGCGCCAAGGGCGAGATGCCCAGATGTAGATGTTGTGCTCATGTTTGTAGCGGGTTTGGGGAAGGCCACCAGCTGCCACCATCCTGGCCTTGGTGCGCCCGTAAACGCTGCGAGCTGTCTTGGGAAGACCCAGCGCACCCCCAGCGAAAGTGGGGGATGTAAGGGAAGAAGGCCACACCAGGTGTCGCCAAAATATCAAACAAACATGCGTAGGCCGTAGGATTGTTGAAGATGCACGCTTGGAGGGCGCGGAGGGGGGGGGGAGGGGGGGGGGGGGGGGGGAGGGGGAAGGGAGGGGGAGGGGGGGGAGGGGGGCAGAGGGGGGGGCAAATTTCTTCCAGCATGATTCCGCGCGGCGAGTCTTGCAGAACCAATCACTACAAATGATTTTCGGTGTCACTCTGTGAATGGCCTCGGTCGGCCACCGCATTCACTCTCCCAAGGCGCAGAGTCGAACGAACCTGTGCATTGTTTGCAAAGCCGCCGAAGCGACAATGTCGTCTTCCAGCGTTTTCAGCAATGGGGCCAGCCGGGCGACACTGTCTGGAGTTGCCCGCACAATAGCAAGAAGCTTGTCGTTGAACGAGACTTGCACGTGGTCCCCGTCTAGATCACCGCCTGTGGCAGTGGACATCTTTGCTACACATTACTGACGCAACTCGCAAAAGCACGCTTAAAAGTATGATGAGGCACTATATGCTGCAGCACAGAGGTGCCTGCCATGAGTGTGTTGCCGTAGCCTTGATCGCTGTACGTGATGGTGTTCTCGCCGACCGCCACACCGACAGGCGGTATGACGGCTTCGTACAGCTGCAGGTCAGTGACGGTGTAGCATGGATATCGCCAAGCCTCCAT